TTTTATATAACATCATTAACCTTCAGAGAAATAACATGTGCTCATTGAGAATATAATCATGAGTGCCTATTCAAGCTTTAACCTTGCACGTCAACATTATTCAATTATTTTTCTTTCCTTGTTTTCTTCATAAATCATTTGTATGATAATTAATTTCAATAGAATAACTTTATTTAAAATATAAAACTAAGAAAAATATTGAAGAAATTTGTTATTATTTTTCTGTCTATTTCATATTATAAAATGTAAATGTCTATATTAATTTAAATCATATTTTTCTTTTGTTCAACAAGTACTTTAATAATAATCAAAATAAATGCATTCAATTACAATACGGTTATTATTAAGTTGAAAAAATAATGAATAATGTAATATAATTAATTTAGACCTGTTTTCATCAACTTTTTCTTTTAATAGAAATAGTATTCAATGATAAAAATCTATATCCTATTAACGTCAATTCAAATAAATTTTTTTTCTAAATAATCAATCTACTTTAAATTATTATACAGAAAATATTGACAAAACATTGTGTCATGTTGATATTTACAGTAATCAAATCCATAATTTATTTATTTAATATATATATATTAATTACATCTTAAATTTTGATAGATTCCTAGTGATCTTTTTCAATTAATAGAGAACATAATCTGCATGGCAGATATCAGTAATAAAAAAAAAAAAAGACAGAATAATCTTCTTCTATTTTTTACACGTTCGAATTTGAATAACTATATGCACTCATTACTATCGGCTAAGCAAAGAAGAACGTGAGACTATATTACGAGAGGAAAAAAAGTAATTGTCAACATCCGTTTCTTGTCTATATAGAATTGCTCTGCAGTAGACATAATTTTTTTATTAGAACTAAAAAAAAAAAGAAATGAAAAAAGGACGAAGTGAAACAAGAAAAAAAAAACAAGACGAAGAAAGAAAAGAATAGCAAACGTCAGTTTTGTCTCTCTCTCTCTTTTTTTTCTCGGATGTTCTGTTCCAGAAAAAAAAATTCCATTACGATTAATTATATTTTTGCAATACTCACCCAAAATAACAAAAAAGAATCGATCTGGCTGTATCTCATTTATACCGATGCAACAGACGCAAACACAAAATTTTCATGATCCTCGATTGAGTACGAGTTCTCATTCTTCATTATCAGCAGCAACAAATGCACTTCTTAATGGACTTCTACCATCTCATCGTTTTTCTCAAATATCAACTAATGCACCAGCACTTGCAGCAAATCTTACTTCAAATCAATTACAAGCATTACAAAAACGTAATAAACAATTAAAACGAACTGAAAGAATCAAACACGCTAGTTTAACTTTAAGTTTAACTTTTATTCTTGCTCTTCTTCTTATTATAACAATTGAATTGGCAACAAAACTTATTAAAATTCAATTCGAAAATGTTACATCGAATAAAATTTCTAATTTAACTACAACGAATAATCAAACAAATTTAACAAATGAAAAACAATATCCTATTCGTGCTTTTTTTACTTGTGTTTGGATTTTTAATAGTCTTCTATTTATTAATTGTTTCATCGTACATACAATCGCTATTCAACAACGTTCAAGACGTGGTCGAACAACGGCTCTATTTCTTAGGTAACAAAAAATGAAAAAACCACCACGAACAACAATATATCACTTAATAAGGAACGTTCAATTTTTTTAAAGTATAAATTACATTAGCAAGGTTGATAGAATATTGACTATTACTGAAAAGTACGCAAAAGAAGAAACTATCTTCATTTTTTTTTTTTTTTCTTCATAGACTACGAATGAAAATGCAAATATTTCTATTGCTTTAAGCATATTTCTATGAATAGATGATCTTAACATTTCTTTTTTTTTCGTCAAAGTTTTCAATAATCTGTAACAGATGATTGAAGAAACAAATGTGATTATGATTATATTTTTCTAATTACTTTTCTTCTATATTTCTATGAATATTATTCATCTTGTTGGAAGAATTAAAATTACTTTTTATATAAGTGACATTAGGTTCTTCATAGAACAAGAATTGAACGTTCGATTATGTAAATAACAAAAAAGAAAAAATATTTGTTTTTTTTGTTTTTTTGTTCATAATAGAGAATTCGGTCGAATATTTGACAAAGGAAAATCCTCATCAAATAATACATTAGTTGATTGTTTAATAAAAACTTGTCTATTATGTTTTCTTTGGTATTCAACTTGTTATTTAATAATTCGTTCAATGACAATTCTTATTTCTGTCGAAATTATTATTCTTTATTCAATAACAATAACATCACGACAACTTTTTGGATGGATTTTTTTGCATGAACAATTTATTGGTAATAAGGTTAGTTTATTTATTTTTATTCTATTAAATATATATTTGTTTGTTTTATTTTAATAGGTTATTGCTTATATAGTTGCTTTATCAGCTTTTCTTTTTCTTGCACATGATGATGGATTTCGTTTTAATACATTTTTACGTGGTCTTTCAATGGTTGCATGTGCTGTTGGATTGAAAACAACTTTTGATGTGAATATTCGAATTTTTGAACAATATATAAATTCATATGAATCTTTTTTTTTTTTATTTCTTAAAAATAGATTCTTGTTAATAGTTTTATTGAAGATTTAACAAGTACAAAATTGAGAATTGTAATGATTAATGTGTGTTTCTGTGGAACATGTCTTCTATGGCCATTTGCTTTACTTCTACATTTCACTCAGGTTGAACAATTTGAGTATAAACATATTCGATGGTTATTAACGATTAGTACATTGATTTGTGCTCTTTGTAAGTTACAATAATAATATAAAATAAATATTTTTGTTTTTTCTTTTAGCATTCAATGTTCTAACAATTACCATTCCATTGAAATATAGTTCAGTAGCCAATGCTGCTTGTCTACTTTTTGTTATACCTTCAACGTCTAGTTAGTTTTTATTTGTTTGTTTCGAAGATATATTTATTTCATTTGAATTAATTTAGTTATCGATCGTTATTTGTTGAATATTAATTATTCACCTTTAGTTATTTCCGCTATTATATGTTCATTTGCCGGAGTTCTTCTTTCAATGATACCAGGAGAATGGTTTCAAGTTAGTGAAACAGCCAAAATGAAACAAGCATTAGGATTACTTAATAAAGATTCAAATACAAATACTACTACAATAGGTACGAGTGGAACAACAACTGGAACATCTTCAGCATTTGAAGAAATACGTGCTCAACGACGTATTCGAAATGCTCTTTTATACAACGAGGTCAAGACGTGATTTTTATTTTTCTATTATATTATTATAATATATTAATGAAAAATAATTTCATTTGTCATTCTATAGAAAATACGATTTAATTTCTATTTTAAAATTCTACTTTTCTCTTATGTTCAACAATATAAATTCTATGCTAAATTGAGTGCGAAATTGCGTGATATAATAGATGAAATAAATGGTTTTTTTTTTTGCTTTTTTTGAATAAATGTGAAATTTATTTATGTAGAAAATTTCATTACAATGATTGAGTTCAATATGAGAATTCAAGGTTTTTATTTTATTTTTTTATTAAAGTATGTTAAAAATATATATTGAGAAAGATTAATAATTGAATTTTTGCAATGATTTAGCTATAAAATTAAAACAATATATATCATCGAAATAAAATGTAATTAAAAACAAAAAGATTTAAAAGCTATTTAAAATGATATATATTCAAGACGAAGATAGTTGATCAAAGAGAATTGTACAAATTAGTAAAATGGTTTTAAATTCAAAGGATGATTTCAATTGATAACAAAAAAAAGAAAAGGATTACATGTTTTTTAGATAATAATTGTCGGATTTTTATTAAAATACTAATCATCATTTTTTAAATCACTTTCGATTGTTCATAGATATCGAAGTCGGATTTTTGTCATTAGAAAGAGTAATGTTGGAGATGTCTATCTAGGTAACACACATAATTAAAATCAAAGAGAACCGTTTTTTTCATTAAAATTCTCAGATTTCAGAACACATCTCTTCAAGCATGAATCCAGGCTAACAATGAAAAATAAATCCAACAATTATATAAGAAATACAATACTCTTTGGATTCTATTTTGGCGTAATTTGAGCCTAGGTCATTAGAAAAAGGTCATAGAAATAGAAGATGAAAAAGATGATATGCATGAAAAATTTTTTCAATCTAAATAAATGTTACACAGTTTAGATATCTGGAACATTATTCTATTTATTGACAAAAACATGTCGTCGATAGTTTTAAAAACAATCGAAAACTATTCAAAAAATGATGATTGACATTTTAATAGAAAACTGACAATAGTACTACTTCTAATCTAATAGATTCTCTACATAATGAATCAAAAATTGAAAAGAATCTTTATATCTTCTACAAAATAAATTATATATTATATTTTCTCACATTGAGAAAGAAATATATTGATGATAAAACGACAAACAAAAACTTGACGGAGTTTATTCGAGGTTATTAAGTACATTTAAATAGTATATCTTTCTTTTATTTAAGAATTGAAATGTATTAATATACCGACTAAATTTATCCTTTGTCGTCTTTCAATTTTTGATTCATTTTTAACAGTATGTCTTTACATAATTGATAGTATATGCATGACAAAATGTTCTGGATATATTATGAAAAGACAAATATAGTTCAATTCACTTTATTGTAAA